CACAGGGGTGTCCAAAACCACGGCGGGTTCTTCCGGAGGAGGGTAGAGGTAAGGACGTAGGAATACCTAGCGTATCCCTGGATAAAATTACTATAATAGCTGGTGAGGCCTAGGAAACTGCGAAGCTCTTTGACAGATGTGGGGATGGGCCACTTTGCAATAGCAGTGATCTTTGCGTCATCCATGTGGAGACCCTGGTCAGACACATGGTGTCCTAGGAAGTCCACTTTGCGCTGGGCAAAGTGGCAGTTACTGAGCTTGGCATAGAAGCCATGCTTGCATAAGCGTTGTAGGACATCGCGGAGGTGTCTGAGATGGTCTTCTAAGGTACGACTGTAGACCAGGATGTCGTCCAGGTATACGAGAACGTATTCTTCAAGGATGTCTCTGAAGATGTCGTTCATCGCCGTCTGGAAGGTGGCTGGTGCATTGGTGAGGCCGAATGACATCACCGTGAACTCGTAGTGGCCGAAGCGCGATCGGAAGGCGGTCTTCGGCTGATCCTCGGTGGCAACGCGGATCTGGTGGTAACCGCTACGAAGATCGATCTTCGTGAAGAAGCGGTTGCCTGCCAGACGGTCAAACAGCTCATCCGCGCGGGGCATGGGATAACTATTCTTAACCGTGTAACGGTTAAGGCCGCGGTAGTCGATGCAGAGGCGGAGAGTTCCGTCCGCTTTGCGAGCAAAGAGGACAGGTGCACCCCAAGGGGAGTTACTGGGTTTAATGAAACCAAGTCGAAAGAGCTCCTCAAGCTGACGCTTGATTTCCGTCGCCTCTGGAATCGAGAGTCGGTACGGTGCCTGATGGTGAACACGATAGTCAGGCGCGAGCTGGATAAAATGCTCAACACCGCGCATCGGGGGAATCCCGCTGTATGAGAAATATGGGGGGAAGACGTCGCGGTACTCTCGAATCAGGTCGCGAACGGCGGGCTCTAAGTCTGCCGTGAACCGTGTGAGTTCCTCAGCATCTGCGTTGGCACGAGACGTATGTGTGGGCTCGACAGTCGACGACTCAGGGGCCTGGGACGTGGAGGGGGTATCCGCAGGCTGACGGATGGACGTAGAGATGGGAGCCGCAAAGATGGAGGAAGGGTCAGGGGGATCGAGCTCCAGAGAGATGAGCTCAATCTCAGGACAGAGTGGATCATAGCGAAAAAGATCCATGACGTTCACTGAGTAGAACGTAACGTCCTCCTGTCGTATGAAGTGAGCAAACTGACGAGGGGAAGTGAACGCGATGTCGGGGTGGGACCCTGAGGGACGAGGGTCCTGGGGAGGTAGGTCGGGCGGGGCGTCGCCCGTGGTTCCGATGAACGGGACGCGATGAGTCTGACCACACTTCGTTTTGAGAACGAGTGTCTCGGTCGCCCATTCGGCCTCTGTGCCACGGAACCGGCGAGACCAGGGAGTGCCAAGGATAAAGTCATACCCAGTCTCCAGCACGTCGAAGTATGCGGAGGAATGGTAGCGCCTAGGCGTCTAGGTATTATCCGATGGCTGAAGGGTGAGGGAGAAGTGGAGGTCGGGGACCGTCTGATCGAAGAAGCGCTGTGTCTTGTTATCTCCGATGGTAACGGAGATAAGAGAGCGAGACCCAGAGGTAGCTAGGCGAGCTTCCTCAACCACTCGAGGGTGAACGAAATCTCCCTGCGAGCCAGAGTCCCATAAAGCGCGGTACACCCTCGTAGATGTCCCTAGGCGAATAGGGATGATGGGTAGGGTGCGGTCAAGGTCAGAGAGCAGAGCGAGAAGACGACGCATGACGTTGATATGTCGCGTGAGTTACTCCTGACGAGCCTGCAGAATACTCAAGTCCAGGAGAGGTGACACAACGTCATCGTGAGTCGCCAGCTGAGCGCTACAACGGGCTGTGCAAATGGCGCGACGCTTCGGAAGTCTCGGGGGAGAAGCGCTAGATGCGGAGGTCTGCTGGGAGGCAGACGATACCTCGACAGACGACGGGGTAGAGAGAACTGCGTCTGTCATGTCATGAGGATCCTTTGGTGGGGTAGCCAAAGGGGCAAACCGCGACTCGGTGGTCGGGAAGCCGGCTACGAGCGAGGCCTTAGGGGTACACCGCACCGTGGCTAGCTGGGTGGGGCTGGCCGGGCGGGGCCGGGGGGGGACTGAGATTGGCGCTGACGAGAAATATCAGTGTAGTACCGATCGAGGGCAGTGTGGTATGGACACCGTGAGGAGGTGTGTCCATCATGGCGGCAACGAAGGCAGCCTCGTTGGGCCTCGAGGGCGGCACGCTCCTCGGGGGATAGAGCTCCGCGAGGAGGGACAAAACCCTTCGGGAGGTCTATCTAAGGAACTGTGGGTGTGCGGGTGCCAGCCTGTGCAACCCGACTGCGTGCACGACCCATGGCAGACATGGCCATCTGTAGGCGCTCGGCCATTGGGAGAGTGTCGTCATCCAAGTGGTACTGGATGACGTCCCGAAGCTCGATGTCCTCGGGGGCGTCCCCAATGGTAGGATCGAGCTCGGCTGAGGCGTCCTCTCCATACTCGAGAGAACTGTAGTGCCGAGCGAATGGCGCTCCTGGTCGAGCAGGGTGACGAAAACGACCAGCAAACGAGGAGCGGCCTCGGGTGGTACCCCGAGACTGGGAGGTGGCGGATGGACGCGAAGAGGATGGGGCGACGGAGAAGCGACGGCACATCCTGTGGTACTGACGCGCAGCCTCGTATGCCTGCTCCGCGGAAGAGAATGATCGCCTCCATAGCTCTAGGCGGTAGTCAGTCGGCAGGCTGACAAGGAACCGGTCGGTGAGTGTGACCTCCGGTAGAAACGTCTCGTCACAAACAAGGCGAGCGTCCTGAAACACCCGGATGTGACGCTCCAGGTCGGCCGGTACAGAGGACCCGGACCATCTGGTCTGGGTGACGCGGTCTTAGGCGTCGGTGGCGTCATGACGAGCGCCGAAACGGTCCTGAAGGAAGGCCGCGAAGTCGGCCAGAGTGGGGACCTCATCCACACGGAGGCGCTGGGTATAATAATCCTCCCATGCAGTGGAAGGGCTACCTCGCAATTTGGTTGCGAGCACATTGCACCACAACTTCTGACGGGTGGTTGTCGTATGGAGCGTGCACGTTGCTATCCGCAACCAGCTAGAGACACGGGATGTCCCATCATACTCGGGAATGTCCGTGGTGCGCACAGGAGGATGTCCACTGTGCTGATGGCGGGGGGAGAGAGATCGAGGCGAGTGCACTGCGGCAGCGTAAGTCGAGGCCGCTGCAGGGGCAGAGGTGGGGGAAGGCTGTGGGCCGTGGCCGCTGGCGGATGGACCAGCGGACGAGGAGGCAACGACCGCGGGCAGCTGTCCTGGAATAGCCAGGTAGGAGGGAAGAGGCTGAGGACCAGGTCGAGGGAAATGAGCCTGCATCATGGGGACCGAAGGGGTGGTAGAGGAAGAAGGGTGGGCAACGTGTGATGGGTGAGGCTGTCTCAGAGCGAGAATCTCCGCCTAAGCCTGCGCAATGGTGGCCTGTAAAGTGGCCACTCGCTGGGTGCGCGGGGTCGGAGGTGGAGGGGGCGGAGCGGGTCTCCCAGTGGGAGGAGGAATCCCAGCCTGGGCGGTACCCTGCTGTGGGGGCGGGGGGACGAAGGCAGAAAGAAGAGGGCGGAGCCGTATTGCCGCGACCGGTGCGGGAAGCTGGGAAGCAACACCGGTGTGGGTCGATGAAACTGGTGGGCCAGAAGGCGGTACCTGGACCGCAGCACCTACGACAGTAGTAGAGATGGTAGGGGCGGCCGTGGCCGGAAGAACTGCCGCAACGAACAGGGTGGTCTGAGCGGCAGCAACACTTGCCACCGCTGAGGGGGAGTGGTTGGCCTGGCCCGCAGAGGAGGGGGAACCATGGTGACTCCGTCTCCGGAGTCCTAGGGAGCCGGAATCGGAGCCCGTAGGGGAAGGGGTGTGAGAGCGGTGGGAAGAGCGATGAGGGGAGTCCTTGAGGCGCTTGACGTCGAGGGCTAGCACATTGATTTGCGCTTGCAACGGTCCAAGCGTACTAAGTTGTGCCTGGATTGCTATAAGGACGGCATGAAGGTCCATGATGTCCGCATGGGCCTGATCATGAGCCACTGACGCCGTGCTGACCTGGGGTGTGGACTGCGCCACGACGATCTCCTCGGATGGACTCCCTTCCATGACCGGAAGGGGAATGGAGGTAGTCCTCAGAGGAGTGTGTGGGGAAAGGGGCCCACCGGTAAGAGGAAGGGGACCGCGGGAGCGGAGTGAGTATTTGTGAGTCGGCTCGCCTCGGATTTTGCAGGTCGCGCGTGAGACGAAGGCGCCGAACCGCTCGAGGGGGGAGGAGCCGTCCAAGTCCAGGGTGCCCGACGGGAGGAGGTGGGAGAGTAGGAAGGGGAGGGGGAGTTAGGAGAACCCTAAACCCTAGCAAACCCTAAGAAAACCCTAAGAAAACCCTAAGAAAACCCTAACCGGAGTTTAGGTGGTTAGGGGAGGGTAGCGGCGACCTAATCAAGAAAAAAGATAATATGGAGGGGAGGGGGAAGGAAAATAGAATAAGCAATAAAATTTCGAGATAAAAATAAAATAAAAGAAGAAATACAAATAAATAAAGAAATAAAATGTAAAGAGCGAGGGAAGAGGACTTATTTATTTTTTTGAAAATTTCGGCAACATTTTCTTACCCCAACGGGGTCAAAATGTGCAAAGAGAAAGGAGAGACTAAGAGAAACACAATAATTTTTACAATGCGGAAATTAAAAATTTCAGAAAAATAAGTAAATAAATAAATAAATAGATAAATAAATAAGGAGGTGGAGGAGAGTGAAGAGAAACTAACCAAGTTTTGGATTTTTCACAAATTTCGGCAGCACTTTGTTACCCCCACGGGGTCAAAATGTGTGCCGAAAGCAAGAATAGCTAAGTCCTAATCAGATTTTAGGGTGCCGCAGAAAAATTCGAATTTTCAAAAAAAAAAATAAAAATAAAAAAATCAGAAAGATGAGAAAAAAAGTTGGGAAGAAGATAATTCGAATTTTTGGAGGAACGGAGAAAATTTAATCAAAAAGAAAGAGAAAAAAAGAAAAACAAAAAAAATCGAAGTTTGGGGGGGGGGGAGGATGAAAAAGTGATGAAAAAAAGAGAAAARTAGGTGGGAAAGAGAAAAGATTGAAGTGGTAGGTGAGGGATATGATGGGGTTGTAGTTGGGGGAAGAAAGGAGGAGAGGAGGGTGAGAGAATGAGAGAGAAAGCTATGGAAAAGGTGAAAAAAAGAGTGAGAGATTAGTAAAAGAAGGTGAGTGGAGAGAGAGGAGAGAAAAAAATGGTGGGAGATGAGTGAAGAGGGAAGGGTATGAGAGATTAAGGGGAAGGAGAGGAGAGAARTAGRRAAAAGAAGCAAGGARAGTGAGGTTGGGAGAGGAGAGAGTAAAAATATGGTAGTGGATGGAGAAAGAGTGAAGGGGATGAGAGATTAGTGGGGAGAAGAGGAGAGAAATGAGAAAAGTTGAGAGAGGAGTGAGAAAAGGTGATGGATGAGTGGTGGTGAGAGAAAAAGAAGGTCAGATGATGAAGGGGAGAGAGAGAAAAGGGAGTGGGAGAGTGAATTAGGGATGAGAGAGGTGATACCCAGCTCTTGGGTAACCAAGAGCATACAACTTCACCAAGATCCACAAGATCTTG